CATAAAGGAAGTGTTTTTGGTGCTTTTATTTATTTTCTTTTTATTGGTATGGTAAAGTATGGCTGTGAGCTGAAACGCTCGAGGTTGATGGTATGAGAGATGGATATTCCTACCAGTACCAGTAAAGATTATACTTGATATATGTATTATTGCTTTACGGGATACAAATACTTCTGATGCCTTTATTTCTTCTGACCATATATGCTTACTTGGCTAGGGTGGGGGAAGATCTTCGGACTTGGGGAATTTCTTTGCTAATGCTGATGCTGCCAGTTATCAAGGGAGAGAAAAAAGTGGAGGAAACTACAATTCCAACATTTTGGACAACGCCACTGTTGATGTCGATCCTATGGATATGTCAGAAAGTATGCAGGAAGCCATGCATCGTTCCAATTTGGATATGAGGTACAGATGAGTATGTACTCAACCAATAATGTCATGTTAATTATTATTAGTTGTAGTTTGGGATTTTCGGATTTCAGCTCTCCAAATCCTGGTTATGAGGATGAAGATCAAAGTTCGAGATGGATGTTTACTATTGGGAACAAAAATATGTTCTTTTGAATTTGGATTACCATGTTTTGAATAAACCCTTGTAAGTAACTGTAATGCTCTGCAAAGTGATCATTCTCAAGCACTGAGATTTCCACTGCTTAATCAGCCCCAACTTGGAAAATAGCTTGATGGAATATTCAACTGTCATTTTTGCACATTCCATGTGTCCCATGACCTGCTATTAGAGGACAGGCTAGCTGATTTGTGCAGCTAATTTTCACGTAGTCTCTATGATTTACGTCTTTATAATATGTTATACACTGTAATTTTCATAGTGAGAAGTACAATCAGGTAGTTCATGGGGATAAGCATTCTGGTGTATGCTTGTCATTATCTCTATTGCTAAGAGTTAACCTTATTTGTTAAAACTCTAGTTCTGGATTATTAGAGAGAACGTAGGTAAATAATGATAAATGTAAAGATGGTCTGATACTGATCTTTCCGTCTTAATTAATGTTCTATGAAAATGCATGTCCATGGGTCAATTATGGTTTACCTTTGAAGAGCTTGACGAAAGGCAGCTCTTGATATTGAGACCTCAAATGGTTTTTGTTTGATAACAGTGGTGCAGAATATGTAAGAAAAGAAATCCCTCTTTATGTTTTGCCGACTACATCCCTTACAAACATTGATTCCCCACTATCATCATATACGGAACTGCAACATGTACTATTTGAAGAGGAGCGTACTGCATATAACCAGGCCATTTTACAAAACATGAGGTGATGATTTTATGCAAAATATGCTATTATCAAATACATGTATGAAAGATTTACTGAAGAATTCTATTGTTAATGTTAACTTCCTTACCTTGGTGACTGTAATTTTCTTTATCTCAGGGATGGGAAGGTGCATCCTCTTACTTTCATACACCACACTTCTACGTACCAGGCTTCATTGTGCAAGTTGATTGAATATTGGTCGGAATAAAAAAGATCTCTCTCTTTTCTTTTTATTTTTGTATTTTCCATTTTTATTATTTTTTTCCCCTAATAATTTCATCTTTTTTGGCAGTCTAAGCCCTGCAATGCAAGCACTACAAGATCGATTGAGAGAAAATGAAATTCGGGTATATACTGATTTCTTAACTTCTATGTCAAGGTAGAAACATTCTCTAGTTTTTGGGGGATTTGGATGTATTACAGTCCCTTTTCCCTTTTTCTCATGAACTTTTCCAACTCTTTGTCTGACCATTGCTTGCTGTTCAACGTTTCTTGAGCTATCAATTCAAGCTAGGCCTTCTAATCGAGGGAGGATTTTCTTTCCCATAGTGGAAGCCCTCCTATGGGAGAAAGAGGAGCTATGGGGCCCACAAGGGTGGATCTTACCAGGTCCAACATGCCCCTCCCTCTTTCACATATCCTCTTTGGCGCGGAAGAGGATCCTCCGTCTCTAATAAACTCGTTCAACCCTGTGAGGCAATGTAGGGCTGGATTGATTGAATGGCATAATATTTTTGGCAGTGGTTTTCATAGCTTAGAATGGGCTTGGTTTCATATTGGAAACCACCAAAAACATAACAATGATCATGGTCTTGATAGTTTTTTTTTTTCTTTTTTAAACTGCACGCAGGAATCTTCTTCTGTTTGAGACACTTGATAGCTTTTTAACATATAACCGAACACGTACTTGGGCTTCTCATCTAGAGTTCAATTCAACTGAAGCCAGTTCATTGTCGCCCAAAACGCCTTAGAATAAAAATTGATTTTTTTTTTAAACTTTTTTTTAGCAAGGATTATTGTGGCTTATTTTGTAAGATCGTACAAGTTGCATTGCAAAACTTACATACTTTTAGGGACAGCCATAATTTCCCACCATAGGCTGACCCAAATCACCTAGAGAGTCGGGCTGGGCCAACCCATGTTGATTGCCTGTAAATCAAGTCAATCATGTTCATTCTGACAATGTGTGGCACATTTATTGTTGGCGTGACAGTTAGGAGTTCTGAGCGATGAGGCCAAAAGTCTGGAAGGGGAGGCATTTAGAGAGGGTGAAGCAGGTTCAGGATCTCCGCGTCAAGTTCTATCTCATATTGCTAGGAATGTATCCAGTCCTGGAAGCCGCATCAGGAGAGGGTTTTAATATGAAGTCTTCCTTCAAAAGTTCTGCTTCAATTCATATGAACAACGACGGTGATTGGCATTAGTTTTGGTACCTGTAATTTGGAATATACACATTATATAGAATGTATGAGAAGATAGTATTGAGTTGCAAAGAAGTGTTGACTAATGACTCCTGCCAGTGTATAAATGTTGTTTCGAATATTTCGTTCACGTCTGACGACAAAAGAAAAGCATTTTATTCAATGTTTCTTGTTTGAAAATTGCATGCACCTGTATTGTCCATCCTGGTGCCATTCAGCTTCTTATTTCAAGTCTCAAAGCTTTGAGAATAGAAAAAGTTACTGCCGAGGGAGTTTTACTTTCATGGTTTGTGTTTTTTTACACTGTTCCTCAACTGCAAATTTATATAAATTTTAATGATATAAATTAATCTATACTTTTAAAAATCATCAAACTTAATTTAACGGTATTGCAGTGTTTTTTGTACTGTACTAGAGGGAAACCGACTCTGAAATGGACAAAGGGACAGGGAAAGTTGCCACCAAAAAGATGTTCATGTTGGTGTCGGTGGGGCACCACTGTAGTTCCACAGTCATTTGTTGATAATGTTTAGTCTTATTCATGTGCTACGCCCTGACTTGTCATATTCTTTTCCTATTCTTCTATGCAAAAACCCCTACCCCACTTTCAATTATCTTTCCCATGTTTTTATCCAAAAAAATCTTGAAATTGACAGCCTGTCTGTATATTTTGCTATAATAAATTAAAACTCACTCACTGTTTATTGATATTTATGATCGTATAGGGAAAATTTTTATTGTAATTTAATTGGAAAAATAATAATAAAATTTTTTAAAATATATAAATAATAATTTAATTTTTTAAAATATCATAATTTTTTAAAAATCTTTTGATATTTTTTTATTATTAATGAATTTTTATACATTATTAAATTATTCTTGTTAAAAATAAATGATTTATAAATTTTGTTTAAATATTCACAACTTTTCTTTTTATATTTGCAACAATGTAATAGCAAATAAAGAATTTAATATGCGAAATTATGATTTACTGTTACATTATTACTAATATAAAAAAAGTTATAAATATTTAAACAAAACTTGTGAATTATAAAAAAATTTTAAAGGACTCCAAGAGAATTATAATATTTTAAATAATCAACTTGTCATTTCTATATTTTAAAAGAATTTTATTATCATTTTTTTAATCTAATCTATCATACATTTTTTTTTTTAAAAAATACACATAACAATATTAATATATGAATATTTTTTTTATTGCAATATATGAATAGTTTTTGTTTGTTCTTAGTTTATTTTACCTATTAAATGCACCCATCCGAACTCGAATTGTCACTGGATTCATGCACTTTTGTCGCCTCCTCATCTAGCCTAGTGTGATAGTCACAGCCAACTTCCCCACGCATACATTTAATGAATGAGCCCCCACCTCTTTTCTTTTCTTCTTTCTAAACATTTCAGTTTCTCCCATAGTTTTTTTTTTAATAGAAATCATAAAAGTCTTTACATCTAAATTCATGTTTTACTATAAGTTTTCTTAAAATGAAATTCTCTTTATATTTTAGTTATTTAAAATTTCACAACTTCAATTTTCTTATTTTCTTTGTATTTTTATTGTTGGTGTTTTTGTTATCCACACATCTTCTTTCATCTATTATTCATTCTCATTTTTTATTGATTGACAAATAAGAGTAAACTTATCACTCCCAATCTTATCGTTTTGCTTCATATCTCAGCTGGTCTCCGTTTTCTTTGAAATTTGTTACACTGTTCAAACAACGAATTTTAATGCCTGAATTTTAAATAAGATTTTAAACGTAAGATTTTAAGACTTTAGAAGTAGGCCCGGCTTCATAAGGCAACATTATTGATTTCATCACGGGTCGGTTCTTTACAGAATCGTTGGTTCAATCAGATTCTTAGCTCTCCACTACTACTGAATCATATTGAAACATGGTTGGATTTAATTGGACTCATGATCCGTAAAAACTACTGAACATTATTCAAATCTTGTTTAAGAAAAATCTGAGTCCTTTCTCGGGTTTTAAACAAACTCATCGTTTATACTAGATATTATGAGCTGAATGATTGGAATCCACCACCAATGTATAGTCTAACCTACTATTTAAACCACATCAACTTGTTAAATACTAAGAATCAAAACTAGGAACCAATAAGAGGGTACCAACAAACAAGGGATCCAGCCAAAAACAAAAAAAATCAATTAACCATCCACGAGCCATTTATTACAGTTGCTAGCATCGACCTAATAGATAATTCAACACCTGATCTAATCATGAAAAAGCGTTCCTTCGTATCCCATCTTAGCCATCTATAAATACTCCAAGTAGACCATCTGAATTCAAACCAAACCAAACTCTCTCTTGCATTATTCCACCATGAGTGATTTGAGTCATCATAGCCATATTAAGAGGCCTCACAGAGCCAACCAGCCTGCTTGGCGAGCGATAAAGCAGCTCTGCTCAGAGCACGGCCAAGTCAGACTGGACCACTTGCACCTCCTGCGACGCCTTGGCTCCGGCGACATCGGTAACGTGTTCCTCTGTGAGATCAAGCACACCATGATGAACAACCTTCAGGACGGTGGCGGTGGTTGTTACTATGCCTTGAAGGTTGTCGATAGAGAGTGTCTCCGAATGAAGAAGAAGCTCAAGCGAGCTGAGGTTGAGAAACAAGTGTTGAGTGTTCTTGATCACCCTTTTCTTCCAACGCTTTATGCCAAATTCGATGCTTATCATTACTCATGTCTGCTCATGGATTATTGCCATGGCGGTGACTTATTCAGGCTTCAACAAAACCAGCCCAATCTTCGTTTTAGCGTGTCAACAGCTAAGTAAGTTCCCATACTTCACTTATCATCTCAATCTTGTTATATATCTGAAGTGTTCTTTGGAAGAATGATTTTTATATTTCATACATGTGACAGATTCTATGCAGCTGAGGTGCTTCTGGCTCTTGAATATCTGCACATGATGGGGATAATTTACAGAGACCTAAAGCCAGAGAATGTGCTCATTCGAGAAGATGGCCACGTCATGCTCTCAGACTTCGATCTCTCACTTCACTGCGAGGCTCATCCGAAGCTTCCAAAACGAAGACTCCAACACAACACTAATCACAGCAAGACTGCCACAACGAAGAAGACGAAGAAGACGAAGAAGAAGAATGTGACCTTGTGCTGTGAAAACTCAGCGGAGGATGGTGTGATAATAATGAGGAAGAGGAAGTCGTCGATAGCTGATGACGTGGAATTATCAGCAGAACCAACGAACGCTAGATCCAAGTCATTTGTTGGGACCCACGAGTACTTAGCACCGGAGGTGATATTAGGGTCAGGCCACGGGGGTGGAGTGGATTGGTGGGCATATGGAGTGTTTCTTTACGAGCTGTTGTATGGGATCACGCCTTTCAAAGACAAAAACAACGAGAAGACAATGAGGAACATTATAGGGAAGTCGTCGGTGAGGTTTCCGACAAGTGAGTTGAGAGACAAGAGAGAGGACGATGATATAGCGAAGGCTCAAGACCTGATAAGAAAGCTTCTGGTGAAGAATCCAATGAAGAGACTGGGATGTACGAGAGGTTCATGCGAGATAAAGAGACATCAATTCTTCAAAGGGACGAACTGGGCCTTAATACGATCGAGTAAACCACCTATTGTCCCTAAAGAAGAAAGCAATAATGGTGCATCAGTTATTGCAGACTTGGATATCAGGAAGAAAGCTACCGTACAGACCCCTCAGAAGATTGATTTCTTCTGAAACAGAACTTGGGAGTTATTCGGAATATCTGCCCCTTGTTTACCATGTGAATTCTTGTAAAATTGTGCTATCCTGTATAGATGTGTGTACATACTATAAATTATGAAAGTCATATATATATATATATATATATATATATATATATATATTCGACTACAATATTAGTCCTTATTAATTAATATGTGTTTATTAAAAGTAATTGGTTAAAATCTTGATTTTTTTTAAAAATTTTGACATATGACTAATCATGCCTTTAAATGTAATAAGTATAACATTTGATTTATTTATAACACTTTCATTTAATTACTTAATAAAGCAAGGGTGTAATTGAAGAAAATATATAACATCTACCAAATGATCTATATTTTAGATTAAGTAAAATTTCTAAAAAATCACATACATCATAGACTTGAGGGAGTATGAACTTAGCGTGGGAGTTCAATTTGGCATTAGTTGGAATGAGTTTTAAATTTCAGATAAATATTCATTATATTTATTGAAATATGAATAAAATAATATTCCCTGAAATATTTTTAGGAAGAATTACTGTGGAATCCTAATCAATTAATTCAATTACCCCAAGTCCTGTGAAATACATAAATTGCTACTTATTCTGAAATCCTCATAGAATTACAAAAATACACTTACATTATTTTTTTAAGAAAAAATATATCATTCAACTACCATTGTAGCTTTGGCTACCAAGCTAGCCTTTGCTAGAGACCTCTTGGCCACCACTGTTAGTCGTCAGAACATCTACCAATGCTTGAACTTTAGCAACTAGTGATAGGAATTTTTTTTTTTTTTAAGGGTGGTCTTAGGAGGATTAGAACCTTGGACCACAAGGATCTCAAAATATTTGGTAACTATTAGGCCACTTACATTTATTAATATAATAATGTAAAATCTTATATGTATTTTGGGCAAAGAAAATTGACAGCTTGATAAAGAAAAATAACAACTTGGCAAAGATGAATGACAACTTAAATGTCAAAAAATAATAATTTTGAATATGGAATTCCCAAACACCCAAATCATGACCATCCTTTGCCAAGTTGTCATTTTAGTATGCCAAAGTTGTTATATTTTTTCTTTGCCAAATTGTTATTTCATATCCTAGTTGTTATTTGCTAATGCCCAAGTTGATTTATGTATACCCAAATTGTTATTTTCCTTTGCCAGGTTCATATCCTTAGTTGTTATTTTTTTACCCCCAAGTTGTCATTCTCCTTTATTAAGCTATTATTTTCGTATGCTCGAATTGTTATATTCCTTTGCCAATTTATCATTTGTATATATTCAAATTTTCTTTTACTTAATCTGAAGTTGTTATTTTTTTTATACTTGAATTGTCATTTTCCTTTGTCAAGTGGTCAATTTCTATATATGCTTATGTTGACACCAATTATATATATATATATATATATATATAATTTTCTATTGCTATGCTTAAGTAGCTCAATGGTTACCAAACATTTTGGGAACCTTTCTATTCTTCCCAAGACCACCCTTGCCCAAAAAAAAAAAACCCTTGAATGATATTTTAAAAAAACATAATGTAAGGATATTTTTGTAATTGCACAAAAAATTGGGACTTGGTGACAATTTTATATATAAATATTGTTATGCAAGTCTCTTTTTCATGTTTTGTCTATTTTAACGGGACGTCTTGATCTTATCTCAATTCCAAATATGATGAGATGACATTTTGGGTGGGGTGAGACATGAGACAAAAATTTAATTCTATTTATTTTTTAGGAGGAACACGGGATAGGAATGTCTTGGTCTTATCCTGGTTCATGAACACCCCTAATCCTTAATTAAGAGTGAAAAGATTGAACAACAATTGTTGATATGATTGACTCTCAAATCTAATAGCAAAATTTTATGCAGTATCTCTATCCTTTAATTAATTAAAAAGAATCCTGTCGTTCTTAATAATAAATTGTATACGGATGTAGTCCGCATATGGATGAATATAATGTACATGCGTTCTTAAATATAAAAGACCAAATTGACAAAATTTAAAACATCCAAGAGTGAGTGAGAAGGATAGGCTTAGTACTACACCATGCACTTTTAGTCTATTTGTCTCAGTCTAAAGCTACACACACATATCGCAATAACACATTTTATAAGGTTATATCCTACATTAATTTTTTTTTTGGGTGAAACCTACATTAAAATTTTTAGTCTAATAATTATCCTTCGTTATTTAATTTTTTATTAGTCTAAAGTCATCAATATTATATATGTGTGTGTGTGTGTGTGTGTGTGTGTGTCTTAGTGTCTTTATCTCAGTCTAAGCGCTCTAAAGTTATTTCCCAATATTAACAAAAACTGAAATTCCAAATATATTGCAGTTCACGTAACTGTATTTTTGTCTCTGTATGCAACTATTTTAAACATAACATAACACAATATAGTAGTCGATCTGACTTCTACTTTTCTTGTCTTTATATATATATATATATATATATATATCAAATTAAAAACTTTAGAAAAAGAACACTTCACAATCTGGCATGGGTACTCCACATCCAATTCATAAAATAGAGAGATGAATTGTTTTAGTTTTATTTATAGGATATTTCATATTATTTTTATTTTTATTCTTTTGTCACTATTAAATGTCAAGAATATTATTAAATGTTAGATTATTTTATTTTTAAAATATATATATTTAATATGGATAAAGTTAAAAACTTATTGAATTTTTAGACAAATCAATAAGATTTAAGGTTTTTTATAGTTTTGATTAAAAAATATTAAAATTTAAAGTGACTTATAAATAAAATTAAATGAAGTATTTTAACAAAAATATGGTATAAAATTGTGATGTTTTGGAAGAGACATTGAAACTTTACAAATAGGAACATAAATATCTGAGGGGGATGCAAGATATTTTCCACACATATGTGAGATATTTTGCCACAAAATAAATGGTCTGCAAATATCTTGAAGGAACGAGAGGGAACAATGTCAATTAATGCATGTCCAAAACAATTAATACTATCTAAAACTAACGTTTTAATTATACAAAACCACCAAAAACAAAACCAAGGCGCAGTAGTGCTATATATGCTTTCACTATTATAACTACAATTAATTAAAAGGTACTTTGAGCAAGCGCGCGCACACACACCCATAAAGATATAGACAAAAAAGAGTCAATACAAAGGAGCATGGAGCCAATGTGTCATTTTTTGTATGTTAGGTTATTCTATTTTAGCCTACATTTTACCGAATGACGACAAAGACATTCATAGGAAAATTTGACTACAAAACAATGCATGCGTAATAGTGGCAGCACAAGTCTATCCAAAAAAAAAAAAAACAAAAGGCAAATGGGGAAATTAACTACTTACTAGCAATATTTTATTTATCATCATGATAGTATTTTAAAATTTAATTTTTACAATTACATGATATTTTCAATATGTCATCACTTAAGTAATATATATATATATATATATTTTTCAAATTCAAGTTCAAATATTAGGAACATTGTTAAACATTATTACAAATTCAACCCACCTTGAATTATATTGATCATTGCTTTGAATTAATTAGTATGCTTTATTAGAGCTTCAAGTTTTTATTTTCATATTGATGATTAGTTTTTACTTTTTTGTTCCAACAAAGATTACCTAGATGAAGATAGACAAGGATATTATAAATTTTAAAAATAAGTAGATAATAAATTTTTTTCATGGATTGAGATACAAGAATACATTAAAAAATCTAAAAATCACAAAATAAATTTTGTAATAAATATCTATGCAATAAATCACTTTTTCTAAAATTATAAATTATTTAAAAATCACTATTTTTTTAAGTTTGAGAACTTGATTCTAAGAATTTAATATTCCACAAAAAGGCAAAATTCATGTCTAGCCACCTATGCAAGGACAATGGATAATTTATAACTCATCAAGTCATGAAAACTTGCCCTGATTTAATAAACTCTCTCGAAACTCAATTTAAATTTTCAAAATATATAGTTTATAATCACTCAGTTATATCATATAACCCAACTTTTTTATAAAAAAAGTGCACACTATATTATAATTCTTATCTAATATTCAAAGCATTTAAGTCTAATATGTCCCCTAGGTAAGACATATTGGTTGTCTTGTTATTAAATTATGTCGACAAATTGTGCATTGTAATTAAATGAAAAATGGTCCCTCCCAAATTTTACAGTAAAACTGATGTTGAGTTGTTGTCACACTTTTTCAAGTGTCATCCATATCTGTATGTCTTATCTCTCTTCCTTTCTTCATAATTTCACTTGACCACAGATGTTGACACTTTCTAATTTTATGCATATTAACTTACATCACTTTTTATATTTTGCCCCACATTATTTGGTTTAAAAAATTGCCCAACAATTGGGTTATAGGTCAAATCATTATCAAATGGACTAATCTTTCTTGATTATTTTTTTTTAGTACTTTTGATTGTTACTATTTGATGTGTTTGAATTTTTGAAATATTTCTTTATTGATTCCACATATATTTTCTTATTAGAAGTAATCATATTAAAAATACATTGAGCAGTAAATGTAAGTGCCTCTTCTGACGAGAATTTAAATATTGATTTATCAAGTTGTGAGATGTTAATTACTTCAACTAGACTCAACCCTTGATCAATTTTTTTTCGAGGATGACATACAGGTATGAAAATCTCAGCTTTGTGGGAAATGGACCTTTCCTTTGGTTGTTCTAAGGCCCAATTTTAATTGGAAGCCCAAGTCTTCCTTTTGCATTAGAGTGGGTCTTCTTATCTTGTACAGAGTTCAAAAATAAGCCGTTTTATTATTTATTTTATTTGCTAACAAGTTGTATTACCTGTACCTTTTAAACATACGGAAACTCCCTATATGATTTTTTATTATTTCATATTGATTTTTGTAAACGATAAGATGATAAGATGCTAATCATTATAAGTTCTCCCTACTAGTTACAGACATTAGTTTCCAGTTCACTTAATTATTATGTTCATTCATTGTGTATGATTTTTTAGATTGTAGATATAATAAAGGAGCTCTTCAAGCCTTTTAGTCTTGAGGATTTGACGGTTTTGAACCTATTTACATCTCTCCTTGTGCCTATTTGAAGAGAGAAATAGAAATTTATGGGTCACACATCTTAATTGGAGTTTATTAAAATGTATCTTTCTCTCTCTCTTCACCTATATCTTCTCTTTGTCCAGAGAAAACTAGAATTGGGGATATTTGTTTAGGCCTCTTTTTATAGGATTGAGCTTTGAAAATTAGGGTATTTCCAAGCTCGATTCATTTAAATTTGAAAAAAAAAAGAAATTGAACTCAAACTACTTGTTTAAGTCCACATTTATTATATAACCCCTAAAAATTAAATTATTTCATATATTTGTATTTTCATTCTCTTAAAGTCAATTATCAATAAACCTGTGAGTAATTAATTATATTGAATAGGACCTTAAAGTAATTCTTCCTTTATAATACGTGTAGGATTTGTATTACTTATTTTACATTTTAAAAACATTTTAATTTATACTTTAAAGCATGAATATGAAATATTATAATGTTAAAATTAATTTTATTTTATTTTAAAAATAAGAAAAGCTTTTAGGTCCGGTTTTAAGTCTAATTAATAAGGTATAGGCTTAAAAAATGGTCAGTTTTAAGATAAAAGAACTTTTAGGCCCCAATACCCAACCCAAGAGAGAATCATCTTCGGATCTTTATCAAGCACAATGTCTACAATAATAGTATGTTTTGAAAAATGATTTAACACAGAAAATAAATTAGATGCCCATTTAGTTCATAATAAACTTATTCAAACAAATAGGTTGTTCATTCGAATAAAATTGCTTAAGAAGAATACCTTTTAGAGAAAATATTATTATTCATTAAATCTTATATCATTATTTGAATAAACTTATAACTTAGTTTATCATTTAATTTTACTCTCTAATTTTCTTTCCTTCCATGTTTTTTTTTCCTTCTATTTCCTTTACTTTCAAGTTTTCTTCTCATCCAAATGAGGGTTAAATCTAACATTTATTTCCTTAAAGAAAGATGAAACTACTGTAATCATTTAGGAAAATGTAACAAAGACAAAAATAAACGAAATGATAATTGCCACAAAAAAATTCCAAAGATAACGATACCTAAGGTCTACTTCCTAGCTATAAAAACATGACCAACAATTTGTAATAATATAAGTAAAATCGAATTATATGACTAATCATCAGCAGTGACTAAAAAAGTCCAAAAATTTTGGATATTTTTTTACAATCATATAACAAAATTCTTCTTTTTTTTAAAAAAAAAAGATTGGAAATAGAACACAACTATTTAATATTGAAGATTTCTCAGCTATCCATTTTGTCTCTCCACTTATAAGTCAAACATATGCTTGTCAATTGAAACCAATGCTTAACCACTAAGTTATGTTTTAAAAAGAACAAAAAACTAGAGAAGGAGAGAAATCAGAGACTGAGAGAGATGATCTTTATACAGTGAACACCATATATAAATGAAGGATCGAAAAGAAGGAAAAAGAAATCTATATCTATTATTACAAAATACTAAAAGAAAGGAAACCAAGGCAGGATATTTACAGTAAGGAATAAGCAGTAATGAGGGGGGGGTGTCTGTATATATGGTTGTGAAAAGTAGGCACATAAAGAGGAAGAGAGAGAGAGAGAGGGGTTGCATGGAAGCGATTCTCAAGGAGAATCGAATCAGCTGGCCACTTCCCATATTATGATCACTTTATTCTTCTTTACAGTTTGCCTCTCCTTCTCTTTACCCTTCCCCAAGAGAATGGAGGCCAACAGACTCTCTCACTCTCTCATATTACTACACCACTCTCTCACATATTCACACAAAAAGATGGTCAAAATCACTCCTCCAACACTTGTTATTCCTTCATCATCACCTTCTCTTCCTCTTTATTGAAACTCACCATCCTTTTCTTTTCTCTTTTCCCATTTTCTATATCTTTCTCTCCTCTTTCATTATCTGTTATTTCTCCTTCTTAATTTACCCCTACAGTAAACCTAATTGAGATCAACTGTTGCTAAAGATCTCAACTCAGCGTTGATAATCAGTTCAGTCTCGGTTCTTTCCATAGCTTGATGACTCTAGCTTTTTCTGGAAAAAAAAAATGGAAAGCAGCGACTATTTTCTTGAGCATTTTGACTGTCAAATCTCTGTGGATTCCAACGAGGTGGTAATTGAAAGAGACTTGAATTGAATTATCCCCTCTTTTGTTCTTGTTATTTGGGATATATAGCTCGTGGCCCTATCTAGTTTATATATGATTTTAATGGTACGAATATTCATCAATTTACATGGCAGCAATCCATTGCTGAGTCGGATTCCACATTGTCCAATACCAGACAGACACCTTTATTTTTCTTCTAGCCTTTAGTTTTTCTTTTACTTCTTTATTCTGGGATAGATTCTGCATGTGGGGCTTCGGCAATTCGAATTCAACCGTATCGCCAAATGATATGGTCAAAGGAACTTTCTAGGGTTCATGGCGGATTTGATCTTGATAAGATGTTTGGGACTATTTCTGTTATGCCATTACGTTACACAAATAATATGTGCTCGTTTTTGTGTCTCTTTGAGTTTTTGACTTGTGTCTTGCTTGCTAGACCCATGATTTCGTGCTCTTCTTTGTTTATTTTTCTTTTCATAAATAGTTAAAAACTTTGTTATATAATTAAAACAGCACATGCACATATTTTTTTTTTTGTTGGCCTGAACACATGCACATATATAGAATTACAGATAACGATTTTAATAATTATAGAGAGAGATGAGACGAGGTACACATGAGAGTGAATTGACAACAAATTAACATGTTGATCCTTATCTAATGAACACTTTTGCATCCAGAACCGTACAGCTATAAACCTAAACAATCCACAAAGTTAGTAGCTAGCCCACAGTACTGATGCCCAATTAAAGTAAAATCTGTTCAAAATTCAAAGTATTTAATTCTCTCTTTGGAATTGTGGCTCTCTCGCAAGAATAATTTTGCCTTTATCTCTTTTTCCTCCTTTAGAATTCCATTTATCAAGGTTCTTGCCCTTCCATGAACACTCAATTTTTATTTTTTATTTTTTTTTAAAGTACTTCCCGACCCTCCATTTATTCTCTTTCCCATATTAATCATCTCTCCACGGTATATATAAACCTTCCCTCTCTCCACTTCCCTCATCATTCACTCTCTGGTCTCACTGCCTCAACTCTCTCACATTAATATCTCAAGGTCTGTCTCATTGCTATACTCTTCTCTTCACCATTATATATATATATATATATATATAGACTCTATCCGAAGCATTGTTACATGTATGTGTGTGTTGTAATGGAACAGTGATTTGCAGGAGAATTAGGAGAGTGAGGATCGAAATGAGCAGGCCAGGAGACTGGACGTGCAGGTCATGCCAGCATCTGAATTTTCAGAGGAGGGACATGTGTCAGAGATGTGGAGATTCCAAGTATGGAGATTTTGGGTATGGAGGAGGAAGAATGACAACGACGATGATGGGGTCTTCATCATTTGGGTTTAACAATACTGCAAGTACTGGTTCTGATGTTCGTCCCGGTGACTGGTACTGTTCTGCTGGAAGCTGCGGAGCACATAACTTTGCTAGCCGATCAAGCTGCTTCAAGTGTGGTGCTTTCAAAGATGACTTTGCTTCTGCCTTCTCCACCAATGATTTCTCTTGTTCTAGACCTTTTGGTGCTGCCTCTTCTAGACCTTCATGGAAATCCGGCGACTGGATTTGCAACAGGTCATTATTCTTATAAAAAAAAAAAAAACACACACACACACACCATACGCTGACATACGTATATATATATACACTGTGCACATATATAAATATGATTCCAAAGAGAAATATAAAACACAGACAAGACAGAATCTGAGATGTCACTCTCATGTTTTGGATATGCTGTGTTTGTATGACATCACAGAAATATATGTCTTCTTTTGTTTTTGGTTTTTGGATTGCTTTTAGGGGTTTAGATACAAACTCCAGTACTTTCTGCTCTTATCGTAACGAATTAATGTTTGGATTATGACAGAAACTTGGTAGCATAGTAGTATGGGATATTAATTAGTCTGACACTGAGTAGTATAAAATGTTTAATGGAATATTTAAATGAGTTAGTTATTCCACTCTAATAGCTAACTTCTGGAGTAGAGTTTTCTATTCCACTTAATTAGTTATCAATTGGTACTAGAGTCTTCTTGTTAGCGTTTTTTAAGAAAACTATCCACAAAAGATTGTGACTAGTAAAAAGCTGAGTTAATTATGTATTATAAAATGCAGTAGTCAGGACGCTGGCTTTTCATGGGAGCCAATAGAGGGAGACTGGGTGGTATAGGATACCAAGTCCCATATCAAATAGCTAATATGAGATACTTAATATAGAATATTTAAATGAGTCTTTTTTTTCCGCTTATGATTGATGATTTTTGTTGGAAATACAGGTCAGGGTGCAATGAGCACAATTTTGCTAGCAGAATGGAATGCTTTAAATGCAGTGCCCCAAGGGACACGTACTAGAAAACGAGATTATCCTTATTTGGGTATGGCCCACCATAATCATTCAAACTGTGCTTAATTATATATATTACTGGTTAATTATGGGTTTTATTGTTTAATTACTTGCAGGGACTTCATGGATTGTCATCAAGCAAGAGAGAAAGAGAGAGATGTAGTGGTCAGACTATTTCTTGATTTGTTCAGAAGATAACTTATGTGAAGCATGCAATTGTGAGGACCACTGTGTTAAAGATGGAAGCTGCATTTATCGATCTCTCATGGGCTTGGCACATTTTCTCAGAATTATTATTGCCAACAGCAATGAATTAATGTTGTTTTGATGCTTTAATTAAACAAATTAATCTTTTTCTTTTTTGTAATCCTACTACGTATGGCGTGGTTTTCCTAAATGAAGATGGTTATTCTCTCTTTTCCTTCTATAACTTCCTAAATGGTTTCGTGTGCATCTAAAATCAAAATGGAACTCAACAAAATTATACAGTATAGCAAGTAGCAATTGATACTTGCTCTCTATATATACATATATTGTGGAGGCTTTCATACACCGAACAAGATTGTTATTATTATAAGAGACAAAAGTCTACATGTATATATATGTGAGATAATGTATTCAAGAAATTAAAATTAACTTGAGCTAATCAATACGTTATGTTTATACATACATAATATGTATGTACGTATTGGAAAGACAGATTTGGCATTGGATTCCATTCACTGACTTAAAGTATATGCCTTTAAAAAGGGATGTAGATTGTGGATTCAAAAGATGACTTTAGAACTCTACATATTAATTAAATAATAATTAGCTCTGCTTTTAATTTATGCATATTTTTTTTCTTCTTTTTTGGTCTTCCTTTCAGCCAAGCTTTATTATCCTACTCAAGGGTCTAAAAAAAAACAGGTTTTAATTTAATTATCTGCGCTTAAAGTTACCTTGACCTAACAGCTGCAGGTCCCTAGATGTTATCATAATTGGATTAGCTAGGCGATGGTCCTATTATCTAGTAAAAGGGATATAGAATAGGGATGATCAAAATAAAATGCATTTGATTTCCTGAAAAACTATTCAACATAGCAAGAAAAGAGGGGGTGTTGGGATTAAGAACCTCTGCATTCAAAACCAAGCTTTTCTGATGAAACTTTGTCGGGGCCTTTTAATTGATTCTAAAGCTCTCTGAGTGAAGTGTTTAAAGTCCAAATGTAAATGTGGAGAGGGCAATACTCCTACAGTGATCAAGAAAAAGACTGCCTCCCACACTTGGAATAGTATTGCTAAAGTTTTTGGGACATTTTTCTTCAGGAAGTGAGCAAAAAAGTTAATAATGGGAAAAACACTAGCTTCTGGTGGGATAATTGTATGTTATTAAGTATTTCTATGTACATGTCGTTTACAATGCCCTAAATCATAATATAATCTTTAAGATGATTTTTGTTTTAATTAGGTTCTTTAAAATTTTAATTTTATTGTACAATAATTATCACTCTAAATTTCAATTAAACATTATAATTTTTTTGTTATTTAATTTTTTTGGTGAATGTGGTTGTTATTTAAGATTTTATTTTTTTTGATTGCAATTAATATTTAATATTTTATTAACTCTTGACTTTATGGAATGAGAGAATATTAAGAGATAGATAAAAAATTCATATGAATATTATTTTACTGAAATGCAATTAATTTTTTAAAAAAATTAAACTATTAAATATTAATATTGATCCATTATCATATATAAAAGTTATTTTGGAAGGGAAGGAGTGCTAAAATAGTTTGTTTAGAGGAGGAGGAATAAAAAATTTGAAGGGTAAAACTTAGACAATGAATTGAATTTGTTGGGCCTCAATATTTTTTTTTACTTTGGTTGGGCCTCAACATTAAGATTAACTAAGAATTGGTCACTGCGTTTAGGGTGGCTATAGTGGAATCCAAATGAGCCCAGGTCCAATTCCATTATTGTAAAAAAAAGAAATTGGGCCAAACAAAGTCATTTTGGAACTTTTGGTTAAGTTGGAATTATTATTTATTTCTACATTTCATATTTGAAAGAATTACAGTAAAATTTTATATAAAAAATTAATTACTGTAAGATTCATTGACAATTAAACTAAGATCATTGATAATTGATTACATTATCAATAATCGTGGTTCAATTATTAATGGACCTTGTAATAATTAATTTTCTTCTATAAGACGTAGATGTAATTCTCCCTTCATATTTCAGCTTTTTTGGGAAAATATAAAATTAATTAATTAATCCTTATAATTTACAGTAATTTCAAAATATATTCACACAATTTAACAAAATTTACAGTGATCCTTAAACACTTCACAAGTGAGTCCTACAAAGTCAAAATCTTTTTCAATCCTCTTCTTATGTCAACATGTCAGAACTAAGAGATCATGTGTCAAACATTCGTGAGATGTGCGGCATATTACATTTTTATATTTTTATTATATTATTATTATTATAACATTTTATTTGTCTTAAAATGTTTAGGTGAGTTGGGTCCAAGAGGCTTATTAGGGCTAAAACATGCTTTTAGACTCAAAGAGCATTTACAGATGTACTTACAAATCACTCATCAACAATGTCTTCACATTGGTAGTGGAATGTGATCCCATAACCTTGTGTGTTATAGATCAAATTTTTACCAACTAAACTAACCTTTGTTAGTTTAGGAATTGTTATAACATTTATCCTAAAAAATGTTTATAGTATATTATGTAAAATCAGGCAAACAACACCCAAACAAGGAGATAGATGTCCCTATTAGATAGCCTATTATTGCAAATGATTTTAAAGCAAACATAAAATATGGTGGGCCCATTGATTTCAAAGGTAAAAATCCTATTAAAAAAAGGGAGCTAGAAGCACAAATGGTTAGATCTAGGATAATCAAGAAAAATTAGTAACTCATAAATAAAAAGTCACTTAATACTACCAATATTTCAATTCCAAAAGAAACTTATGTATCTGAAATGTGCAAAAATAATGAGATCTCAATAAATTAGGTTATGAATGGAATATAATGAGGCCAGAATGAAGTCAGCATTGACGATATTTTTGCATATAATGTGGCTTGATGTAATAAATGATAATGAGGATCATGAACCAAAGTGCACTAAAGAATGCAAACAAAAAGAGGATTGGCCAAAATGAAAAGATGCAATGGAGACAAAATTAAAGTCACTTGAAAAGCAAAAAGTTTTTAGACTAATAGTCCATACACCTTCAGGTCTCAAATTGGTTGGATATAAATGAGTTTTTGTATGGAAAAAAAATGAAAATGGTGAAATTATAAGGTATGAGGCATGGCTTATGACTTAAGGATTCACACAAAATCTTGGAATTGATTTTGTTAAAACATACTCATTAGTGGTGGATGCAATTACTTTTTGATATTAATTAGTTTAACAATAAGTAAAGGACTCAATTTGTGTATATTAGATGTTGTTACAGCATATTTGTAGGGCTCACTCAATAGTGACATTTACATGAAACTCCTTAAAGGATTTAAATTGCTAGAAGCAAACAATTCAAGTTCTCGAGAAAAATTATATATCAAGTTAAATAGTACTTTAAATGGATTGTAACAGTCAATGCATATGTGGTATAATCATTTTAGTGAATATCTGTTGAAAAAAGGATATAAAAATGATCTAACTGACGCTTGTATTTTTATAAAATGATCTAGAAAAGAGTTTGCTATAATTGTTATTTATGTTGATGGTAAAAATATTATTGGAATGCTTGATGAACTTTCAAAAGCTATAAATTGCTTAAAGAAATAATTTGAAATGAAAGACTTGGGAAGAACAAAAGTTTGCTTTAGATTACAAATGGAATATGTGAATAATGAAATTTTTCTATATTAAGAAACTTATACAAGAAAGGTCTTGAAATGATTTTATATACATAAATCACATCCATTATCTACTCTAATAGTTGTAAGATCATTGAAGGTAGATAAAGATCCTTTTAGACCTTGAAAAGGTGATGAAGGATTACTTGGTCCAGAAGTACCATGTCTTAGTGCAATCAGAGCATTAATTTGTCTTGCTAGTTACACGTGACCTAATATCTCATTTGTCATTAACTTATTAGAGAGTTATAGTTCTTCACCAACATGAAGGCATCATAATAGAGTTAAGCACATTTTCATTATCATAAGGGTATTATAGATATGAGATTATTTTATTTCAAAACACCTAAAGCTGACCTTATTGGTCATGCAGATGTTAGATTATTTTTGTCTTATCTTCATGTTGGTAGATCATAGATAGGCTATTTGTTCACATGTGGTGGTACACTCATTTCATAACGATCTATGAAAAAACAATATCAGCCATATCATCTAATCATGCAAAAATTTTAACTGTATATGAAGCAACTCGAGAATGTGTGTGGTTAAAATCATTAATCCATCACATATGAACTACTTGTTGTCTATCTTCATACAAAATGATCTCGACTGATACACACAAACACCAATAGACACTGCAAGTGTACTAGTCATAATTGTAGCTAATGGCAAATCAAGGTCAATCCCATAGAGAATTAAATAAATTGGCAAATAGGCATTAAATTCTCAATTTCATTCACGTTAAGTAAGAAAATTACAGTGGTGAATGATTCAAATTAAAAACAAAAAAAATGTAAAGTAGGCAATTAAGATTTTGAAGCACTCTAAAATCAAGAAACGACTAGAAAAGCACTATAGAGTTCTAATCCTTTATTTACTCCATTGCATACAATTTACTGATTAAATTGATTTTAATTTTGGTTTTAAGGGTTAAGACACTATAATTAATCTTGAATATTTTCTGATTACCCAAAATCCTTCTTAATTCTAACCCAACAATTCTTTGCCAAAATATGATTAAGAGCATTAAGTTTAAATCTTTTCTAACCACTTAGGTCTTTAGGTACATTCATGTCCTAAAGGCAAATCGATTATAATTAATATTAAGCATTCAATTCCAATAGTCTAAATAGAAATTCCTTTCACAAGTTCATTCTATTCCTCTAAATTATCACTTAATGGTGGTGAATCATCAAGCAACACAATTATAAACTAGAATAAAAACATAAAACATTTATTAATCATAAAGTAATCAATAAATCAATATATAACCAGAGCAAATGAGTTCATAAGACTCTAGAGTATCAAGATTCAACCACATATAGCTAAGTACATTCTTAAAATAGCAAAGTAATGGGACAAAATCATATACATAAGAGAAAGAAAGAGAAAAATGAAGAAAAACTCAATGAAAATATAGATGGTGATGAGTTGTCTTGTTCCAAAATCATCCCAAGCTCTCCACAATTGCCCCTGAACCTTCAGAGAACTTAAAAAAAATGAAGTCTCTATCAAAAAACTCTAGTTTCACTCTTTTATCAGACAGAAAAATTGAAATTGT